AAGTTCGAATGGGAAGGAAGGGGGAGAAGGGTTTAGGCTTTGCAGGAGGTGGGACCCACTTTTTTTTGGGTTTGGTTTTAGGTCAGAATCATACTGCCACGTCATCTTTTTTTCCTAAGGGTGCATATGAGGTGTCACTCTATTTTGGCCTGTCATCATGCTTCAGTTAATTAACGGGACACATCACTGGATTTTTAACAGAGGGACTAAATTGGGGTAAAAATGATAAACAATAGGGACCAAATCAAGAATTTTTTGAGTTGAGGGACTAAGTCAGGGGCCCATACAATAGTTGAGGGACCAAAATGGGGGTTTAACCTATATTTAATGGTTATAAGGGTACTTCAACCACTAGGTTTTGATTTTTAGTACGTATTCTTGCTATTTATTTTTTAAAAATATGATCATTTTTACGATACCATATGACATAACTCATTATATACCATCTAATCTAATTTTTGACGCAAATGCCACCAAAGAGAAGGATTGTAGAGCTTGAGATGAAGAAGGGAAGAGTGAGAGTGGAGAAGAGGAAAATTGAGAGAAAGTGAAATTGATGAGAGGTTAGGTTTAAGTATTTTATTTATTTCTATTTTTAGGATTAAGGAATTAGAAATTTAACCTTAATTTTTAAGTAATCTAATAAAAATGAATAAAAAAAAGTTCAGGTCATTTCTGATGATCCGACCCACCCGTGACTCAACCATTTGGGTTCAAATAATTTAATCCAAATTATTTCAGAATTTGAATTAACACATAGAACCCATGACTCTACCCATAACAGATAAGTTAAGTCGGATTTTCAGATTGGGTTCAATTTTGCCAGGTCTAATGAAAGAATAAGTTATAAAAAAAAAAAAAAGGATTCAGGAACAAAATAAAGGTTTGGGCCATTTGGCCATTAAATTTTCCACGGTTGGGAAGTGGGTCGTCTTAAATAGCCCAATTACAACAATTTTCCATTCCCCCGAGCAAAAGCAAGGAGATTGTTAATGGCGAAAGAGAAACCGCTGGGAGCAACAGGATAGTTCTTCAGCAAAAGGGACGAATGGCGAAAGCATCCCATGCTCTCTAACCAGCTACGTCACGCCACTCCTGGGCTTGGCATCACTCTCGTCACCTTTGGCATCTACCTTGTTGGCGAGCTGGTCTACAACAAGGTCTATATATGCATCATCTCCATCTTCGCATCTTCATTGAGATTAGCTGACAAAACTTGACAGGAATATTGGTGGGATGTCTGGGTCTTCAAAATTCCAAGACCACCAAAGCAGACCATTATTGGGCTACAAATATTTGTTATAACAAAATATATGAGTTGTAACATAATCGTAAGTTCATACATATAACAAAATTCAATATGTGAGTGCAGATACTTTCATATATACAAGTTTATACATATTGCAACATAATACATACAAATACAACTCCCTAAAATCTTCCTTCGTTAGAATTTGTTAAGAGTGAACACATTTATTGTAAATATGTTATACTTTAAAAATTCTCTTTATATATTTTATACCTTAAAATATTCTCTTTGTAAACACATATATATAGGTCATTTTACATACAATATTATTCAAGAAAGTAATAAACCTTTCTTCAAATTATTATTCTTCTTTTCAATTTCTAATATGATGTCAAAGCTATAAGCTCTTGGTTCTTTTTTTTTTTTATCATTGTTGTTTGGTTTTTGGAGTTGGATTGTCAATTCCATTCCAAATCTAAAATTTTGTCATTGGGATCTCTTCTTCTATAGATTGGATTGTTTATCCTTGATTTGTTGGTCCTTTTTGAGATATATTGTTGGCTTGTTATTTTAATCTTAGTATCTATTTCTTCATATTTTTTTAGAGTTTTTCAGTATTGTGAGTTTCACTAATTCTATGGTGAGTTTTGAAAGGACTGTAACTCATCCTGCTACTACTATGGTTGCCAAAGAAGTGATAAATCAATCTAATCTTAACCTTGAATCCATAAAACAAATGATATTAAATCTTTTCAATACTCCTACTGCCTTATCTACTGCTCCAGGTACCAAATCTTGGTATTTTGATTCTGGTTGTTGTAACCAAATTTCTTCAATTACTGCTCATTTCTCTTCAATGTCACCAAATAATTTATTTCCTGATATTTATTCTACTAATGATTCTCCAATGAATGTTAGTCATATTAGCAATATTTCTACAAAATCATTGACTTTACCAAATGCCCTATTAGTTCCAAAACTTAGTTATAATCTTCTATCTATTGGTCAATTATGTGATCTTGGTCTTGAAGTAACATTTTTTACTTATGGTTGTCGTGTGCAAGACCCACGGACAGGACAACTTCTTGGAACTGGTTGCAAGGTGGGGCGTTTGTTTGAGATCAACTATCTACATATCCCTAATAATAAAATGGACACACCATCATTTCCAAATGATCGATTCATCTAAATCTTACCTTGTGCTATTGAATTAGAGTCTTTACAAATTACATACCAACAAATTTTGCAAGCTTGTGTTGCTATTAACGTTTCTCCTCTCCATTTGTGGCACTCATGGCTTGAACATACCTTAGTCAGTAAACTTCATCCATTTTTCTCTCATGGTTTATTAGGATCAGTTCCAAATGAATCTTAACTTTGTGTGTTATGTCAATCTGTAAAGCAACCAGCTTTATCTTTTTTGAGTAATCATTCTCATTCTATTACTCTTTTTGATCTTGTGCATTCTGATGTTTGGGGTCTATCTCCTACACCCACTAAAGGGGGTTTCAGGTATTTCGTGTTATTTCTTGATGATCATACTCGTTTTATCTGAATATATCTTATGAAAATCATTCTGAATTACAACAAATTTTTATTGATTTTGCTAGCATGGTCAAAAATCAGTTCTCTAAAATTATTAAAGTTTTGAGAATCGATAATGCCACTAAATATCTTAGTTTTGAGAATTGATAATGCCACTAAATATCTTAGTACTAAACTTCAATTTTCTCTCAAAAGAATAGGGTACACTAACACAACAATCTTGTCCTTACACTTCTAAACAAAATGGGCAAGCCGAACGTAAACATAGACATATCCTTGATTTTGTTCGTGCTCTGCTCATTTCATCTTCTTGTCCAAAGCAATTTTGGGGTGAAGCTACTCTTACAACTATTTATCTTATTAATCAGATTCCATCCTCAATGATCAAAAATAAGTCTCTATATGAATGTTTACATGGTGTTCCTCCTATTTATGATATTCTTAAGGTTTTTGGTTGTGCTCTTTTTGTTCTTCTTCCACCTCATGAACATAACAAGCTAAAGCCTAAAGCTCGATTGTGTTGTTTTTTGGGTTATAGAATTACACATAAAGGATATCGTTATTGGGATCCTATATCACAAAAACTTCGAGTAACACGTCACGTTGTCTTTTGGGAACACATTATGTTTTCCTCATTATCAAACTTCCAAGTGTCATCTTTTGATCAACCTTCATTTTTTACTAATCCTTCTGTTGAGCTATTCCCTAGTGATTCTGATGCAGGTACATTTGATGAGATCTACAATGCCTCACCACATGCTCTAATTGGTTCTATAGAAGATGATTTGCCTATTGGTAATGCATTGGATAATTTTGAGCCTTCCTCTACTTCCTCATCTATATCACTTGTTGATGTTGCATCTGATATTGTTGAGTCTCTAAATGAGCTTGTTGTCCCATCCTCGAGTCATCCTACTCAGGTAAAAAACATTCCTAGCTACCTTCTCAATTATCATTGCTTCCTACTATTATTTCTTTACATGAGCCTCAATCATATCAAGAGGCTTCTAGTAACCCTTTTTGGCAACAAGCTATACAAGAATTACAGGTTCTTGAAAATACTCATACATGGGATTTAGTTGATCTCCCTGCCGAAAAGTCTTTAATAGGTTGTAAATGGGTTTACAAGATCAAAACACGATCTAATGGTTCTATGGAGCATTATAAGACATGCTTGATTACCAAGGGTTTTACATAGTAGTATGGAATAGACTATGAGAAATCCTTTGCTCCAGTTGCTCGTCTCACATCTGTACGTAGTTCGCTTGCTATTGTTGCTATATGGAGATGGAAATTGTTTCAAATGGATGTGAAAAATGATTTTCTTAATGGTGGCCTAGAAGAAGAAGTTTACATGAAACCACCTCCTATGCTCAACCATCCTCCAAACAAGGTATGTTGATTATGACGTGCATTATACTAGTTGAAACAATCCCCTCGAGCCTGGTATGCAAAGTTTAGTGCTATTGTGATTGAGTTTGGTTTTACTTCGAGTCCACATGATACAACTCCATTCATTCGTAAGACTGCTCGAGGTATAGTTTTTTTTACTTCATTATGTTGATGACATAATTATTATCGGAGATGATATTGTAGGTGTTAAGAAGTTAAAACAATCTCTCAGTCAGAAATTTGAGATGAAAGATATTGGTGCTTCGAGCTATTTTCTGGGGCTTGAAGTCACATCTTCAGATGATGGCTACCTACTTTCTCAAGTAAAGTATGCCTCTGATATTGTTTCTAAAGCTGAACTCAATGATAGAAAAAGTGTTTCTACACCTCTTGAGCCTAATGTCAAGCTTACATCTATGGATGGCTTTCCACTTTTTGATCTTGCTCACTATTGACAATTGGTTGGTAGTCTGGTTTATCTTACTACGACACACCCTAACATAGCATATGCAGTTCACATTGTTAGTCAGTTTATGGCTGCTCCTCGCTCCACTCATTATGCATCAGTACTTTGCATTATTCGCTATGTTAAGGGAACATTGTTTTATGGACTTCACTTTTCTGCTCACTCATTTCTTAGACTTCGTGCTTACTTAAATGCTGATTGGGTTGAAGACTCAAATGATCACAAATCCACCACTGGATATTGTCTCTTTCTTGGTGATTCCTTAATCTCTTGGCGTAGTAAGAAGTAGACAGTTCCATCACGTTCTAGCATAGAGGCTGAATATCGAGCACTTGGAGACACCACATCAGAGTTACTTAACTTACGTTGGCTACTGGAAGATATGGGTGTTCCTTAACCACCTACGACTCATAATGATGTGACAATCAGAGTTCCATACAAATTGCTCATCATGATGTTTTCCATGAACGCACTAAACACATTGAGGTTGATTGTCACTTTGTTTGCCATCATGTTGTTGAAAGAACTGTTCATTTAGTTTTCATTGGCTCCGTTGATCAACCAGCAGACCTTTTCACCAAGGCTCATTTTCTTGGATGCTTTCATACTCTTCTTTCCAAACTCAAGTTGGTTTAATCACAACCAACTTGAGTTTGAAGGGGGATGTTAAGATGTGAACACACTTATTGTAAATTTTTTATATCTTAGAATATTATCTTTATATACTTTATACCTTAGAATATTTTTTTTGTAAACACATATATATAGATCATTATATATATAGTATTATTCAAGAAAGCAATAAACATTTCTTCAAATTATTCTTCTTCTATTCGGTTTCTAATAGAATTTTTCTTTCCTGAAGAAAAAAAAAAGCATAAACATTCTAGTTTCATGATATTTTATTACAAAATTAAGCATAAAATTAGAATATAATTATTATATTACAAAATTTTTGTATAGTTAAGTAATTTCTGTATAAATTGTAATAATATTTATAATGATATTTCTATGTAATTAATAAAGTATTTTAGTTTGAGTTTCAAAAGTATATTCATACATATGACTATCTCTATAGTCAAAATTCAACCAAATCCTCTTACTCTAGAGAGTTAGAAGCGAAATCTATTTCTACAAGAAGACACAAGAAAAAAAAAATGTTAATGTATTATGTTGTGGATTCATAAATTTCTCAAAAAATTACTAATGATGAAATTAAAAATTTTTTTGTTTCATATATAAATTACTATGTATCAGTTTTGACTCTAAAAGATTAAAGTCATAATCTACATTTGTAAATTAAAATTTAATTCAAGGTTTAAAAATTCATCTTATTAAATATTGATATTTAAATTTAAAACCTAATTATATTACAATGTATAATCGATTTTTAAATTTAAATATTAATATTTAACAAGATAGATTTTTAAATTTTAAATTAAATATTAATTAAATTAAATTAAATAATTTAATTTAAAACTGAAATTTTAATTTATTTTAAGAGTAAGGATTAATATGTATTTTTGTATATATATATAATATATATATAGACTCTCTTACACCCTACTTTACTCGAAACGGTTTCGAAATATATAAATTTACTAAACACTTATACTCAACTGTTTAAGTAAAACTATTAACCGTTACCCACAACCATTATAACAAACCAGCCCTTAAACTTATACTTGTTAAATATAAATTTTTTATATATATCAATATTTAACCGTTTCTTTTCCGATACAAATAACATTAACATACCTACGAAGATAAATCAGGGATCCAAAAATATCAGATATAATGATCAGCTCCACACCTCACCGTCTTAAAAAAAAAAAGAGTAACAACTGGAGTTGAGTCATGAGTGTGAGACGCAATGGGAGGATGTCGCGTGTAAAGAAAGGTCCAAACCAAGAGAAAGTACAATCGATGCAGGATCTAGTACACTAGATGCAGGATTTTTCATGTTCTTGGCCGCAACCGCAAAATGAGTCAAAACCCGCCGAAGCAAAGCAATACCCCAATTCCGAAGACAAAATGATTGCACCAAATTAGCCGCAATGGACTCATTAATATATGAATGGCGCCTCCTTTAAGAGAATTTGCGATTTTATAATGGTGGAGATTTTGAGCTTGAATATTGGGATTTGAGAAGAGATGTGGGATGCTAAGGTAGTTTATATATATATATTTGATAATTAAAAGTTATATAAAAAAAATAATTGTTTTTAAAAAAAATTTATTCACTTGACTCAATTTAAATTTTCAATTATTGAATCAGTTTCTCTAGAATTGAGATATTAATGAAACGTAACTTATAATTACAATTTAACACATTATTATTAAAGTGAGATGGCAGCCACATGCGTGGGCTTCTTCTGCCCCTTCTAGTTGATTTGAGTTGATTCCAATTCACATTGAATAAAAAGGAGATACCAATAGTAAGAAAAAAATGCAGGTGGATTGGGGTTGGATGTCTAACGGACATGTGTTTTTGTTTTAATTAGTATTTAGATTTGAACTGGGGAGGGGAGGGGAGTGGGCGTGGCCCCCAAGGCCCCAACCCAACAGCACAAAAAGTGTGAATCAACTGCAATGCAGATGCAGTGCAGTGAGTGTGTAGTCCGGTCATGCGCTCTTAAGCATGCTTCTTTACGGGATCACGCAAATGCTCCTCTGTCCCCTCCCGTCCTCGGTCGCCTGTCCTCAAATTTCTCCTTTAATCATCATGCATTTCCACACATTATTATAATTTAAAAGTTTCAAACTACAAAGCAAAAACTGATCAAACGCCGGTAAGCCATTACATAAATGCTCTACCTAGCTAGGAATTCAATTTCTAAACACACATCATAAGATCCAATGATTAAGATTTTTGTGTAATATAAAAAATTTCTCATATCAAGTCAGAAATTTTTTAAATGTGTAGAGAGAAATGTCATTCTCATATATATATATATATATATGTTAGTTGTCTAAAGTTACCCTCCGGCTCCGGTTAAAGTAAAGTCTAGCGTGGTGGTATTATTATTATGTAAATAAAGTTATTCAAAGAAGAAAAAAGTTTACGCTTTAGTAATTCAAGTGGGGTTTGACTGCGTTGGAAAAGTTTATGCTTTAGTAATTCATTGTATTTGAGGTAGCAGCAATTACAATAGCATGCCCATTCCGTTTTGGAGGAGAATAAAATAAAGAGCAGCAGAACAAGAAGAAGAAAACGAAATGTTGTTGGGATTCCAACCCAACTTCTTCATCCTTGAGAAGCAACTTACTGCCATTTTTACTTTTTTTCTTTTTTCTTTTTTTGTCTTCTTTAAAAAAAAGATAGAGAGAAAAGATTCAATTGAATTGGGGAATGAGCTGTATGTTGGTCCCCCTGCCTGTATCTGCTATGCTATCATCATTACTACTCTTTCTATTCTCATCTCACCTCTCCCCCTGTTTTTCTTTTTTTTTTTATCAAAACTTCAATTTAAAGAGTTGACTTGTACGTCGATGTGTGATGCTTGATCCATCCTCCAAATATCGAACACTTCTTTTCTTGTAGAAAAACAACTTTTGTTAACATGTAAATAGGAATTAAAACAGAAACAACCTTTTTTTTTTCTTTAGTACATAAAGATTAAGATTGAATATAAAACTTGTGGTTAAGAGTAAATAACTATATATATACTATCAAATTAACCAAATAATTGATAATAACATAAACAGAAGCAATTAATTGTAAATATTATTAATTCAAACAGAACAAAAATAAATAAAGGGAGGGTCAGAGAAATCAGAATTATGTGGGAATTGATGGCGCGCAGCAAAATGCTTTTCCTACTTTTCTGTGGATTAGTTCCCTTATCTAATTATAAGAATCATATGTAGATAGAGATAGATATAGATTAGAAGATTAGAGGATTAGAACTTTAGAAGGTACGTAGGTAGTGGGAGCCAGTGAGAGAGAGAGAGAGAGAGAGAGAGAGAGAGAGAGAGAGTGAGAGGATACTAATGGATTGTGTAAAAGGAAAGGCAGTCTGCCTTTGAATCTCATGCTTTCAACAAGGAATATATATATTTGGTTGCTGCCTTTAAATCTACCTAATATACAAGTTCAGACAAAATTTTTTTTATAAGTGGTGGTACCGGGGGGATGGGAATGTTCCCAACGGCTACTCTTTTGCTTTTTGTTTCTACAACATTTTTTTGAAAAAAAGAAAGAAAGAAAAAAAAAAAAAAGAACTAAAAGGGAAAGCCAATGCCTTGATTCCATCACAAGCTAGGGAGACAGAAAGCAGTAGTGCCCTACCCAAAGTCCCCAAATCTTTTAATTAATTAATTAAGCGTTCACTCCACACTATATATGTTCCCTCAAATTAAGAAAAATGGAAAATCAAAAAATTCTTTCTTTTTCCAAAAATTAAGATTCCCTCGCTTCCCTCCCTCAACACATACACACATATACTTGATGACTGCATTTCCTTATAATTTCAAGTTTCATCATAGACTTGCATATGATATGTTTGAGATGAATCATGATTCAGTTGTGTGCCTGCAGCTCCTTGCTTGGGACTACAATTTGCAGGCACACAGATGATATCAGTTAGCCAATTATATAAAGATGGTCCATCAACTGCTTTTTTCATGTTCGTTTTGTTTGTTTACAGTAAGCAACAAAATCTAGTGTCTCGCACTTGGCAGCAATGTATAACTGCAATATTAATTAATTAACTAATTAATGCAGTGCATCTTTGTTTTCCACAGCCATATTAACAAAACCATATATAGCTCTAATCTTGCTGTTGTAAAATTTCTTTCCTTTAATGACCCTTATATATATGTTTCTATTGTTTTAAAAAAAATGATATCTAGTGTCTATATATACAATGCTATTGATAAGAAATAACAGACAGAAACACATGATCATGATGATGATGACGACATCCGTCCAACACAGTTTGAAGCTTAAGGAACCTCCCTAGCTAAAACATTGATTCTTCTAATACGAGCTGCACTGCATGCTCTGTTTTTGGAAGAAGTAATTCATCTATATATATATATATATGTGATAGACCATCCAACGGGCACTAGCTAGCTAGCTAGCTCCAGCGGCCCTCACAGCCCATCAAACAAATTAAATTAATTAAGGATGATATGCATTGACTCGGTCTGTAAGTACTCCTTATACATGACATGATTAAATGAAATACTTGGCTCCCATTTCATATATACATATATATATACCTATTACCTGTAATTAATAATTACAATGGAAAAGTCTTTATGGTTCAAGCTAGTGACTATTTATACCTTATAAAAAAACTACTTTATCTTAATAAAAGTGTAGAGTTTGAATACTATCATCATGTTTAAAAAAAATATAATAATAATAATAACGATCTCAACAATTTGTTGGTTCAAATAAAAAAAACTCGGTTATCTTTAAATGAGGTTTTAAGTTTGAGTCTTGTGAGTGAAAAAACAAATACTGAGAGAGCTTCTTCCCTAATAGGATTTGACACTGAAAGAGCTTCCTTCCTAATATGATTCGATGCTACTTGATTTCGAATTAATTAAAATATAATGTGATTATCAGATAACGGGAGGTTAGTAAAAAAAAAAAAATTATAATGATCACAGTGGGTCTAGATGTTGCCCGGCGGATGATGATTAGTAGCAGATCTAGATAGATATATGTATAAGTTTACTCGGAAACAAAATGCATGTGTCTCTGATGATTAGTATCTTAAAAGGAGTTTTGATTTCCAAAGGCGTTTTAGTAGTTAAAAAGGGGATCAGGTTGGTAGGTACCACTATATAGTTAGTAATCATATTATTAATTTTTATTATTATTATAAAAGAAAAGTAGTTTTAATTTGGCCGGTGGCATCTTAATTAATTATTAAAAAAAAAAAGGAAAAATGCAAGTGGGCTCTAGTGAGGACCCAACAAAACCAGTTGGTTTTATTATCTTGAAGATAAACATGTGCATGCTTATATAGTATAAATTAAAATCATCATGTTGTTTGAGTAGTACTAGTAATTACTCTAGCTATGGTGAATTGCTGCCATGCAGCATGCTGATGAGTGTTTGAATCGATCAAAAGCAGAAGGAAAAGTGTGACCAATATTAATTAGGATCACACCATTTGCATGCAAGGCAATTTAATGTCAGTTGGTACTATTGCCACCCTCTTTTCTTAGCAGCGCGCGGCCAAATATGCTCTGTATTCTGCATGCACGGAATATACTTATTTAGTGCTTAAGTACCACTAAATACTTAATTAATTGACACCTGACCTTTCGGATCAACTGACAACTTACTAGTTTGAGGTATATTTTTCCTCTCCCGAAACCCATTTCCCTTGATAACTTGTTTAAAAAAGAAAAAAATACTTAATTAATTGGCACCTGACCTTTCGGGTCAACTTACAGCTTACCAGTTTGAGGTGCATTCCTTCTCCCCCGAAATCCGTCTCCTTGACAACTTATTCAAAAAGAAAAAAAAAAACTTAATTAATTGGCCCTGGCTTGGGAGGAGGGACGCAGAATATGTATATATATATATATAATTAAGACCAAGTGGTGCGCCTAGACCATATATCATCCATTTTGCATGCATCTTTATCTTTAAAAAATATATGTACATATATAACTCTGGTAAAGTTTTTGTGAGATTCAAAGGAGCTCAAAGGTTGTATGTGCAGGCTGGGAATTTGGGCTAGCAGCTGGTTAGGCAGTGATTGAGATGGATGGATGGATCCCCTAATCCGTAAAAGAAACAAAGTTGTCGGCCTGGGGATTGAACATCTTGATATTTGTGATATATATATATATATAGAAAATGTATATCAAGCTTTTCTGTCATCAACATGTATTTATTCTTGTGGTCCATTCACAAACAGTAGTGTAATTATAATATATGTAGTCCCAGCTCCTTCAATTATTCCCTTCCCTCAATTTCAGAAAAAAAAAAATTTACTTAAGTAATTCCTCTATATATATATATATATACATATTCCATAGAGATTAGTACTTCTAGAACATGAGAAAGAAAAGCAAAGAAGATAAAGTGGAGAAAGAAAGAATTAGAAGAAGAGACAATGGAGAAGAAAACAAAAAAATTAAAGATAGATAAAGTCTCCAAATGTGGTGTATATGTGGGTGGAATAAAGGCATGCACCAAGGATGCCATAGAGAATAAAGTGATTTTCATAATAATAATATATTTTTTTGGTAAATCATAATAATAATAAAATTAATAAAAGAATATATATATTTTTTGAATATAAAATTAATAAAAAGATATATATATATATATATATATACACAGAGAATCAAAATCCAACAACAACCAAAAACCGAAAAAATAAAAAAAAGAAAAACCCTTTTCAGCTTTTAACACATTGCATTATTATAACCGGAAACTGTTTCCTTCACATCAGACTTAAAAATTAAATACCAATATTTTCCCAAACGTGCATGATCTAAATTAACTACTAGCTAATGCCACACTGCTCTTCATTAAAATATACACTAAACTAATGCATAAGAAAATCACAATCTATATATATAGAGAGAGAGAGAAAGAGAAAGAGACTAGTAGCTAGCTAGTATATCATTTTAGGTAGAAGTAGAAGAATTAGCCAAATGAATCAGGTGCAGGAAGGAAAACCCAGTGAGCAAGCTTTCTATTCTCAGCCAAACTGCCAATTATTACCCTTATCGTCATCATGTCTTAAACATCTCACTCCACCAAGATAAAACTATACATCTGGATCACAATCTTTACATAAGTAATGAATGATTTTAACAAATTCTTTTTAAAAAAATTCAACAATATATCTGAATTTTGGTTTTGTTTCATTAAAAAAAATGATTAATACATCATCATACTCTATAACACACTTATTAAGAAATTATTATTTTTAAATTTAAATTTATTTTGAATAAATTTTTAAAAGTAAATTTTAATGGTTAAATTGAAATAAGTTATGTAATATATTAAAACGAAAGGTATATTAATTATTATTCTAAAATTAATTAGGTAGCTAGTCACACGTATATCACTGCAGGAAATTAACAATTTCAATTTGTAGGTAAAGATATATAAAATCATTCACGTGACTACCATGATATATAGCCCTTATTAACTCCACATTCATTCAAAGTCAGAGAATCAGAAACTAGATATATAGATTATGCCTCCATCCACATTTTTTACCTTTGTAAACATATATAAACTTTGTTGCTAATTAACTACAATTGCTTATTTTTATTGAATATTTGAACAGCATTTCCTAATTAAGTTCCTTTCATAATTCAGTCTCTCTCTCTCTCTCTCCCCACTCTCTGACACACAGCTCTCTATAGTGGCGTAAACCCCTGGATGCCTGATAGTGCAAGCAAAGCAAAGCACCATTCCTCACTTTTCTTAAAAAATAAAAATAAAAACAAAAATAAATAAGAAATAAAGAAAATTTTGGTGTTGGTGTTTATTTCCTTCCCTAAGACTCACACCATTCTTCTTTGTCTGTAACAAAAACCGCTTTTCTTTCTCTCTCTCCTCTGCTTTTTGGCCTCACTACTACTACTATAAGGCATAAGCTCTTGTTTAGTTCTCCCAAAACCCACCTGCAAAACTATCTAGCTCCCTTTCTTCTTCTTCTTCTTCCTCTTCTTCTCCCTCTTCCCTTTGCTACCTATCTTGTTTAATATTTTACCAAAACCTATGGCTTTTTCCACATCGGACTTGTGTTTAGCCTCTTCTTTCATCTAGTTAATGATGTGTTCCTTCATACCATTTTCTTCCTTCTTTCTCTCCACATTCTGTCTCTCTATCTAGCTAGTGGGAAAAATTAGAAGCATGTGCAACCATCATTTTCTTTCTTAGGTAGGCTTAGCCAGACACATTTACATACATATATATGCATTGTCCACAATAGTTTCTTCCAAAGTTGCATGGCCATAGATAGAAATCAAATGAAGAACAATTAATGTCCACTCCACTCTACAGTCTAGGCTTAGGCAGTTTTCGTGACTCTTTTCTTTTCTTTTCTAGCTATGGGGTTTTCAACAAAGTAGTAGTCTGGACCGGGATGGAATTTTTTTCATTTTTCTGAAAATAAAATAAAAGTTATTTTGGTTTGTGCACAGTGTGGCTTCTAAAAGAGTGGACAGACAATTGTGAAGAAAACTCCTAGGATTTTTAAGAAAGCAAGGCTTTTAATTTTTATAATTATTTAGGCCAGCCCGATCCTAGATATATATATAATGTAATGTAATACTCTCCTCAAAATCTCCCTGTCTCTTTTGGTCTCCAAACAAACAGACAGACAAACAAACAAACAAACAAACATAGACAACACAAGGTAAAACACATAATTAACAGAACAGCTAGCTAGCCAGAGAAATGGAGCTTTCAAGTCATGAAGGGGACATCCCAATTCCAATAAACAGTGCATACATGATCCATCATGATCCTGCTGCACCCCACCACAACCACATCATACCACCCCAAATGCCCTCTAATGGCCCCTCCTCCATAGATGACCATCCCCCTTACAAGAAGCCGCCTGTCAAATACAGAGAATGCCTCAAAAACCATGCAGCCACCATGGGAGGCAATGCCATTGATGGCTGCGGCGAGTTCATGCCTAATGGAGAGGAAGGCACCATTGAAGCCCTCACCTGTTCTGCCTGCAACTGTCACAGAAACTTTCACAGGAAGGAAATTGAAGGCGAACCCTCTTCCTATGATTTCTACCACAACAGGCCGGTTGGAAGAAAAGTCATTTTAGGGGGACAGCATAAGGGTGTACTGCCCCCCGAGGCTTTAGGATACCCTACTGGTACTCTTATACACTCGAGGGCAGCCGCAGCAGCAGCAGTACCTCACCAGATGATTATGTCCTACAACATGGGGATGGGGTCCCTGCAAGCGTCAGAGTCTGAGGAGCTGCAGGAGGAAGGTGGTGGAGTCGGAGTAGGGGTAGTGGGCAGACCAGCAGGGCAGTTGGTTAAGAAAAGGTTCAGGACAAAGTTCACGCAGGAACAAAAGGAGAAAATGTTCAACTTTGCAGAGAAAGTTGGGTGGAAAATCCAGAAGCAAGAAGAAGCAGTGGTGCAACAGTTCTGCCAAGAGATTGGAGTGAAGAGAAGAGTACTAAAGGTCTGGATGCACAACAACAAGCACAATTTAGCTAAGAAAAACATCTCTACTGCTGCCACAGCCATCGCTCCTCCTCCAGCGACCACAACCGGCACCACCACCACCACCACTGCTACTACTACTACTTAATTAAATAGCTATATATATATATATATATGCACCATTTATCCCATTTGTCTTAACTTTGTTACGCTAATTTGTTGGGGATCTGATCTTAATTATTACTATTAACAATAATAATAATTTTGGTTGTGTACTATATATGAATATGAATATGATTATGAATGTTTGTTTAATTAGGTGCAGTAGAGTCGTAGTTATGATTTGAGTGGCGCAATATATATATGCAAGACAACATGCAATAATATATATGCATTGCTTGGAATATTGCAGGTAGCTAGCTCCCTATTAATTAATTAAGGACTTGACTTTGTTGCTGTAATGATTAATTAATATATATATTTTTATAATATGCTTCTTCGACAGAAAAGCTTCTTAATTAAGAAATAATGGTATTCCTTTCATCTCAATGATCATATATATATATATAAAATCAAAAAACACAAAATTAAATTGAGCAGAGCACCAGTTCAAAGTGTGTGGGTATATTTTGCTATAACCAAGCCTACGAAAAAAAAATAATAATAATAATAAAGAAAGAAAGAAGAAGGTGATAAAAGAGTAGGTAGGTAGATTGATTGCAGTACTGAAGAAAGCTGTTTGAGAATAATAGAGAGGGCACAGCCGCACAGGTGCATGAGTGGTAAGGTTGACGGTGGTGAGAGGTGCATGTATGGGATTATTAAGAGATTGGGAGCATTAGCTAGCGTTATAGAGAGCAAGCAACAAGACGATTCCATCCAACTCCAATCCTATCCAATCCAAGCTATGTCTATGTAAATCTAAATCTAAATTTAAATATAAAAGGAAAGTACATTGAAAACTCTTAGGTAAAGCAATTAGTAACTCTCCGCATAAGAGTACTCATAAGCCTTTAGTTCGAGACCATCCCCTTTCCCTTTTCTTTTCCCTGAGTTGGGTTTCGAGCCCTGGTAACCTGATCAAAAAATAAATAAATAATAAAAAAAAGGGAAGGTACATTTTTTTTTTTTGTTAATAGAAAAAACCCAAGCAGCAGGGCCGGTTATTTATTGGATTTGGAATTGGATTTGTATGCCCACTCTGGAAAGGGCCAGGCCCAGCCTTTTATCGTTTTGAATGTGAAATTACAGAAAGCGCCCATCTTTGATTTCCTTTATCTTTTATTATTATAATTATTATTTTATTTTATAATTATAATTATAATATATAAAGATGGTTTGAAGCAGAGAAACTGGTCTTCTCGAAGCCGAAGAGCGGAAGAAGAAGAAGAAGAAGATGATGCAAGAAGGAGAAGAAGAGCTAAGCATAGATGAGTTGGCTTCCAATCTCTCCACTTATAAGCATCAGCTTCAGCAGGTATCAATTTCATCAAAATTTTAATTTTAAAGTTTGGTTTTTTATGGTTAAGAGAAACAAGAGAAGTAGGGTTAGGGTTTTTTTTTTCATATAAACAAATCAAATCAAATCAAATCAAATCTCTTGAATACCAGTTTGTTTCTTATCACTGAATTTTTATCAAAAATAAATTTTGATGAATTTTCCTTTCTCTCTCTCTCAGGTAAAGAAGCTGTTGGCCAGTGACCCTGGAAATTCTGAATATGAGGACATGGAAAAGGAGCTTTCTGAGGTCGCCTCTTCCTTATTTCTCTTTTCTTTTATTTTATCTGCATACTGCAATCATGCTTTTTCCATTTTAGTTTTCCTTCCTCCCTTCCTTCCCTCCATTCCTTTCCTTTCCATTGTATTCTGAAATCAAACCAACCCAACCCAATAACGCTATTAATCAATCAATCACCATTCACCACAACCTAAACCCTAAATTAAAATATCAATTTGTTACCGTTCCTTTCATTTCTCTCCCTTTTTCTTTTTTTTCCATTTTTTTGAAGGAACCCAACATCGTTGCTCAATCAATTAACTGCTAAGGACTCTGCCCCAGCTTTTTTTGGTTTTCCATTTCATTTCAGGGTTGAAAAGGTCAGCCATGCTTTATCCATCCCATCAATTAATAAATAGACTTCACATACCTCCTCCTCCATTCTCAACTTTAGGCTCAATCTACAAAACTCTAAATATTACATACAATTTACTGCTTCCACCACATACATAGGCATCACTTTCATCTTGCTTCCTGTGCAGGTATCTTGATAGCAGTCCTGCTTCTCATTCACCTCACCTCACCTTATGGTTTTCAATGTTCACGCTGTGATTCTAAGTTCCAATTTGGCCTCACATTTTTTAAAACTACACTTCACTAATTTCATCATATTTATTTAGATTTAGACATGTGCTATAACTTGTGGGCTGCAGGTCATTGCTCTGACTGAGGAACTGCTTGCCACAGCCAAGCAAAATGAGATTTCTGGTTCAGATATTGGGACTAGTGCTAGTAAACCACTTTCCAAATCTAAGGTAAAACAAATGCTGAATCAATATCCATCCTTCCTTATTTCTTTTTTGCTATAGCTGTCTTCTTTACAAAAGCCTTATGTCTGCATAGCCAACAGTTTCATTCATGTCATGTTGCCATGCAGACTAGATGTTATGTCCAATATTTTATCTAATAAATTAGGCATCATCTACATTTGAGTACCTGATACTCTTGATGTGTGGCTTACTGTGATGGAGATCTGTATTTGAATGATTGAGGGGTGTTTGGAGGAGCTTATTTTTTGACTTGTTTGCAAGCAACGTTGTCTCCCACAAATTTCAATTTTTGTTGGAAGGAAAAGTTGCTTTTTAGCACTTAAAGAGCTTTGAAGCAACTTCTGCTTACATCTTGTGAATTTTTTTTCTCTCATTTAGGAATCAGCAGAACTATCTGATGCTCAAGACAAGTTCCCTGTTGGAACAAAAGTTCAAGCTGTTTGGAGTGAAGATGGCGAGTGGTATGCAACTCTTCAGAGATATTCAAATTTCAATCATTTTTTGTCTTTTATTCATTGTTTTACCTTCCTTTCTTTTCCGTTTTTGAGTAGTTGAATATTCTCAGGTATGATGCTACAATTGAGGCCATCACGCCAAATGGGTATCAAGTTTCCTATGACGGATGGGGAAATCAGGAAGAGGTAAGATTTCTATTGCCACATGAATTTCTTGTTTGTGAATAACCCTTTTTGTCCTTCTATTTTATTATATATTCCATATTGCTAAGCCATTGCTAACCTACCAAGTACCAACTCATTCTATTTTGTTTGTTGTTGCATCTAGAGCAGAGGATTAGAACGCCTCTCATTCCTTTAAAGCTGCCATTCAATACTGCCTGAACTGAATCCCGCCATCATGCTTCTTCCTTTTTTTTTTTTGATATTTCTCATGGTGCATGCAATGCCACTTTTTGATCATCAATGCCAGGTGGATCCTGACAATGTAAGGCCAATTGAGTCGAATGCTTTGCTGGAAGCTGAGAGGGTTGCTGAAGCAACAAAGCAAGCTATTAAACGTAAGATTGCACAAGCTGCTTCTGTTGATTTCCAATCACGAAGTTTACCAGCAAAACTTCGTATAGAACCTGATGACCCAGAAGATGTGGTGAGTACTGTCTCCTTACATTGCTCAAATTCTTGTCAATTAAATCAGGTCCTAGAGCTTACAGGTTTCCTTTTTATAACTTGTTGTGATGGTACTAGAAGAAATTGTCATCACCAAAAAATCTAATGAGCAAAGCTTGTGCATATTGATGTCTGCTTTTCTTATATTTTGCCATACTTGTCTAAAGAATGTCTTATCAATTTTTTGAGCTGCACTTTTGCTGGTGGATTTTTCATGCCTATCTCAGATTTTTGTCAATCTCATGTTTCCACTTTATTTGTTACTATCTTTTCCCTTTTC